TATAGGGTATTGTGGGCGTTTAGGGCATTTAGGGTATTCAGGGTATTTACGGTAGCTATAGTCATAATGTGTTATCGCCTTATTTAGTTGTAGGCGCCCTGCTTACAACTTGCCATGACCTTCCAAGTAGAGGTTTAGGGCCGTAGGGCTGGGGGTTTAGGGTTTAAGGGCTCTGGGGCTATGGGGTCTCAGGGTTTTGGGTTATAGGGCTACAGGGTTTTAGGGTTTTAGGATTTAGGGGGGTGGGAGCATTGGGAGGTTCTATGTTGCGTAGGTGCCCCAGTTTTGCAGAGCCACCCTTTTCTGGGCAGGCGAGGCCCAGCAAGGGTCGCCTCTTGGCCGTGTTTGATCTTTCAACGTTGCAGGTCTCCTGCCGGGAGTTTTCTTGTTTAAGTCCAGGGTTTGAGTTTTGTTGGGTCAAGTTGCCGTGTCGGGTTTTACAGTTTAGTGGCAGAGTTTAGGGCTTTGAGGGTGCAGTTGCTCAAGGTTTTGTGGGTTCTAGGGTTAAGTTTGGCTTCAGAGCCCCAGGGGAATGTATTCTGAATATTTGGGGTACCCACCGGAGATCGGCATGTACACATGGCCTGCCTTAGTGCTGGTTGAATTCGGTCTGCCCCCATGAAACCCTAAACTCTAACGGTTTAGGGTTTAGGGTTAGGGTTTAGGGTTAGGGTTTAGGGTTTAGGCTTCAGGGTTGAGGCTTAAACCCCTTATGGGACGGAAGTCGGACGACCATAGCAGACCAAGCAACGAGAACGTTCCCTACACCTCGCGCATTCGCTGATTCATGTGGTGGTCCCTAAACCCTAAAACCCTAAGCCCTAAACCCCTGAACCCCTAAACCCTTAAACCCTCAAACCCTATCAGTCCTACGCCCCCTAGCAACCAAGCGCATGCAAGATATCTCCCCCGCTCATATGCTTAAATCCTAAACCCTAAACAACCCTAAACCCTAAACCCCAAACCCCAAACCCCAACCCTAAACCCTAAACCCTAAACCCGAGTCCTCTCAGTCCCCTATGAAGACACAACCACCAAGCCGAGGCTACAGCTCCGGCAAGACGTTCTGGGCAGCGTGGGGCCAGGAGCCGCGCTGCGAGCTGGAAGCCCTGGCGCTGCTTCGGCCATTTTGGGGGTTTAGGGTTTAGGGTTTAGGGTTTAGGGTTCGGGGTTTAGGGTTTAGGGTTTAGGGTTTAGGGTTTAGGGTTTAGGGGCTGAGGGGAATATTTTTCGGGAGAAGCGTTTGGGGTTTAGGGTTTAGGATTGAGGGCCCTAATTGTTTTTGCAGAAGGCACCCACAGAGAACCCCAAGCCCTCGAACCCGAAACGACCCCCCCTAAACCCTAAACCCTAAATTTAAGAGCCTCCGGCTCAAGCCGCCGACCCCGCTGGAGCATAGTTGGTTCTTTAGGGTTTTTTCGGGGTTTGGTTTAGGGGGCTGAGGGGAAATAGGTTTTAGGATTTGAGGGCCTCTAATGTTTGGGTTTAGGGGTTCGGTTGAGGACCCCTAATTGTTTTGAAGAAGGACCCCACCCTAAACCCCCCCCCCCCCCCCCCCAAGCCTCGAAACCCGATAAAAACCCCCCTAAACCTAAATTTAAGAGCCTCCGGCTCAAGCCGCCGACCCCCGCTGGAGCATAGTTGAGAGGTCGAAACCCGCTTCGTATGGTTCGAAGATCATCCCCAGGGCGTTTGGGGGGGTTTGGGGCAAGCCAAAAGATGGGGGGGGGGGTGGGGGAGGTGGGGGGGGGGGGGTGGGGGGGGGGGGGGGGGGGGGGGGGGGGGGGGTGGGGGTGGGGGGGGGGGGGGTGGGGTGGGGGGGGGGGGGGGGGTGGGGTGGGGGGGTGGTGGGGGGTGGGGGGGTGGGGGGGGTGGGGGGGTGGTGGGGGGGGGGGGGTGGGGGGGGTGGGGGGGGTCGTGGGGGGGGTGGGGTGGGGTATGGGGGGGGGGGGGGGGTGGGGGGGGGTGGGGGGGTGGGGGTGGGGGGGATGGGGGGGGTGGGGGGGGGCGAAAAAAATTGTGCACCGACCCCGCCCTACCCCCCCCCCCCCCCCGCTTTTGTGCACCGACCCCCCCTAGGAAAGAAGGGAAGCGTTTTCCGGGGGGGTAAGGTGGAAAGAGGGACCCAAACCCTCCAACACGCCGCCAGGGGCGGTGGACCCTAAACCCAACACCCTAAGCAAAGAGAAACGGAAAGGTGAGGGTTAAAGCCTCACCGTCTGTCTGGACAGGCCAACGGACACACCTTTTTTTACGACAACGTCCAGTTCTCGGCTAAGGGATGGCCGGCACCCAGACCACCTTTAGCGTAGGCTAAAGTAAAACCCCAAAATCGTAACCCTTTGTCTCTGGATCGGATTTAGGGTTTTGGGTTGTTCAGGGTTGTTGCCCCCCCCCCCCCCCCCCCCCCCCCCCCCCCACCCCCCCCCCCCCCCCCCCCCCCCCCCCCCCCCCCCCCCCCCCGCCCCGCCCCCCCCCCCCCCCCCCCCCCCCCCCCCCCCCCCCGGGGGCCTCCTAGCCCCTGGTGGCTGGATTCCGGAGGCTGACGAAGGGGTCCAGGCAGGCTGGTCGCTCAATTTCGATTTTTGGTCGTGGATTCGACCGCCTCCGCTGAGGCCCCCAACCTGGCCGGTCTCAAGACATTTGGGGCCTACGGGCCCTGACACGCCGAAGGCCCGAAAAGGGCCGAGGCTACCCCCAACCCCAGCTTAAACCCTAACACCGCAACTTTAAAAACATCAAAGCGAGCTTGCAAACCAAACTCCCGCGACTTGAGAAGAAGGGTTCCGGACAGATCCTGGCAAGACTTGCGCTATGCACTATGCTGCGTGTGTCTGGCTTAGACGGTCAGTCATTGAGTTGTGTTTAGAATACTTGGCGTCGCAATTTGCAGTCGAGTTACAGTCAAGGCTTGGCCTCACTTCCGAGGTTCGAGGAAGGAGAGAAGTCCGTCTTGCTGTCGCAGCACCTCCAGCATGATTGCGGGTCGGATTGCTAGGGTTTCCAACGTATTTATACATTAGATCGTAATCACGTGCTTGTTCACGAGCTTCCGCCCTGAAGACCACAGACGGACAAGAAGATAATTAATACGAATAGTGAGAAAACTCAAACGCAACTACCAGGCTAAGCAGCTACCAGGCCTCCTTGTCCACTCTGCTTGCCTGTTTGCTGGCTTTCTCTCCCCTTCGTATCATCCTGTGGTCATCCTACTTGGTGTCTTGTTCTCAGGGTCACGTCAAGAAGCAGGCAGCGAAAGTTTATTGCCTTCCCTCTTTTCCCCTTGGCTTTCACATTCTCCAACACATCCCAAAATAAGTTTCGTGACAGTAGCATGTTGGGAAACCTGTATACAGAATTACTGAGGGTTCGATCAAACATGTAAACAACAATGCATGGCGCAAAGGAAGTGCGGAAGCTGGAACCGAGGATTTTGGAACACCTTGGACAATGTACTGACAGCAGAATGTACTTGCATCTGAAGATGGCATGACAGAAGATGACCAGAAGCATCATGAGAAGACTTAAAATATCATTAAGAACAGTCCGCCATGAAATAGCCACTAGGAAATTCAGGAGCACACGGATTTTGTTTTGTAAGCATTGCTTTGGAAAAAGATGTGATGGTCTGCGACGCATAATATGCAGACGAAGTCTGTCAGCCGCAGTTGAGCATGTGGCAGCGCATCTTGTCAGCCGTCGTGACAGGATCCACGAGCGCTTGAGCCGCAAGACCGCGCGGTGCCTGAACGAGGCCATCAAGACCGCGTGGCGCCGTTGTTGGGCTTTTTGTTTCTGAACGCTAGGGAACCAACCGCTGTGTTTTGAAAACTGCAGTGCAGACCTGCAGTGCAAAAGTTAGTTTTTGAAGAGCAGGCTCTGTTTTTGGGGCTAGGGGCGGCTTCAGCGTGATCGTAATGGGACAACGAGTTGCCGGCAAAATTATCCTTTGTGCAGCGTTCGCTCTGGTGTCCGACTGAGTCTCTCTGTGATCTTCCTCAGGACCCACGCAGTCCAAAACCGGATGCCTTACTCTTTGCATGTTGTTCAGCGCCCTGCGGGTGATTCTTGAACTTGGTTTTTCGGGCTCACGTAGCGAGGCCTGCAGGCAGTCTAGCGAGATGTTGTAATGGGGTGCAGGGCTTGGGGGACAACACGCCTTTCACCGGAGCTACACAGCAATGAAATGGCGTTGAAGGAGGAAGGAGCAAGGGCAGGAAAGCATGGTGCAAGACACGTGTCATGTCGCAGGCCGAATTCGGCGGGTTCCTTGGGCTCCAGCAGCTGATCCAGGCAGGCTTTTCAAGTTTCGGGTTCGGGTGGGGATGCTTGCGCCAATTTTCGCATAAAGATTGTTTGCCAGCAAGCTTATAGTGTTGTTTATGCACTGGTCTGTCAGCTGGCGGGCTTCCGAGTTCGAAACGATGGCCAAGAGGCCTTCATGCTTCGCCCTGCGGAGGACTGGTTTCCCACGACAATCATGAGGCAAGTTCACTCCGAATCAGTCCGCAGGACATCGATGTGACGACGACGTGGCCACCTGTGTGCAGAGGCTTCATCCATTTCGATGAAGGGACGGACGAGCCACTGAAAAAGAGGAGCAGTTCAGCACCGCCGCCCGAAATCCGGGACGTATTGTAGACAATGCAGCATCGAAGGGTTAAAGCCTGGCATCGCGCATCTTCTCATGAGGCACAAGTCCTCCGTTTGCAAAGCATGCTGTCGCCTGTCACTTCACAAGTTCACATGGTATGATTCGGTGTGTTGTCTAAGCTTGCTTGCTGTACGTAAGTCACCAGGATCCCACGAGGCCTTCAAGGAACACTTTGAGACGCATGCTTGCGGCAGGTGCGATCCAGGCCCATTTATGTCTTTAATGGCTTCATTGTTTAGACTTCGTCGGCCGCTTTGGAGTGTGGACACCCCATATGCCATGGTGCTTGAGCTTTCCTAGCACCAGACTCCACGAGGAAGCTTTGCACCAGTGCATGGGGATTTCATCACAGTTTCTCGGCCCGTTGCACGCACAGTCGCCGGCACGACTGTTGGGGAATCCAGGAGCCGGCACAAAGGGTTTCCCTGACCTTCAAATAAAAAAGGGCCTCTACGGGCCCTGACGCGGCGAAGGCCCGAAAAGGGCCGAGGCTACCCCCAACCCCAGCTTAAACCCTAACACCGCAACTTTAAAAACATCAAAGCAAGCTTGCAAACCGAACTCCCGCGACTTGAGAAGGGGAATCCAGGCGCCGGCACAAAGGGTTTCCCTGACCTTCAAATCAAAAGGGCCTCTACGGGCCCTGACGCGCCGAAGGCCCGAAAAGGGCCGAGGCTACCCCCAACCCCAGCTTAAACCCGAACACCGCAACTTTAAAAACCTCAAAGCAAGCTTGCAAACCAAACTCCCGCGACTTGAGAAGGGGAATCCAGGAGCCGGCACAAAGGGTTTCCCTGACCTTCAAATCAAAAAGGGCGTCTACGGGCCTTGACACGCCGAAGGCCCGAAAAGGGCCGAGGCTACCCCCAACCCCAGCTTAAACCCTAACACTGCAACTTTAAAAACATAAAAGCAAGCATCGGGGCACAAGAAAATAAACTCCATAAACCCTAAACCCTAATAGAGTATAGTGTGGGTGGCCGGGATGGGTTGACGGGCAACGCGAGCGCGCGGTTCGGGGTGTTTCACACCCGAGCGCGCGCCCTCCCCTGACACACCCTAAACCCTAAACCCTAAACCCTAAACCCTAAACCCTAAACCCTAAACCCTAAACCCTAAACCCTAAACCCTAAACCCTAAACCCTAAACCCTAAACCCTAAACCCTAAACCCTAAACCCTAAACCCTAAACCCTAAACCGTAACCCTAAACCCTAAACCCTAAACCCTAAACCCTAAACCCTAAACCCTAAACCCTAAACCCTAAACCCTAAACCCTAAACCCTAAACCCTAAACCCTAAACCCTAAACCCTAAACCCTAAACCCTAACCCTACGCCCTACACCCGACACCCTAAACCCTAAACCCTAAACCCTAAACCCTAAACCCTAAACCCTAAACCCTAAACCCTTGAAATCGAGGTTGGGCATCCTTCACTGCCATTGCCCCAACCCCGCTGCCTCGGCGGGGGTTGAGTGGTGGACTCTCTGCTTAGCCGCTGGCACTGCACGAGGGTTTAGGGTTTAGGGTTTAGGGTTTAGCGTTTAGGGTTTAGGGGTTTAGGGTTTAGGGTTAAGCCTTCACCCTTAGCAAGCTTCAAGGCCCGAGGGTGCGTCATGTCAGATCCTGGGTAGAGTTTGCCGTGTGTCCTGCTGGAAAATTCCCGAAACCCTGATTCCTAAACCCTAAAACAGTAAACTCTAAACAATAAGACCCTGAACCCTAAACCCTAAACCTTAAACCCTAAACCCTAAACCCTAAACCCTAAACCCTCAACCCTCAACCCTCAAAACCCTAAACCTTGTTCCACAAGGAGGGTGATTCAGATGTTGGGTGGCACTGGGACCGTGACTACGTCTTGGAAGACAGCGGAGTGAACATCCACCCGATGCTGGGCACGGTGACCTACCTCTCAGGAGAGGGGTTTAGGGTTTAGGGTTTAGGGTTTAGGGTTTAGGGTTTAGGGTTTCAAGGGGCCCCTAATATAGACCCCCCAAATAGTAGGATCCCCTTATAATAAGGCCCCAATAAGCTACCCCCTAATATCGTGAACCCCTCAGGAAAGCAGCCTCAACTTAGAAGCTTGTCTGCAGCAGCTTACTCTAGGGTCGGAATAGTATTCACTGTGGTCCCTATATAAAGATACTATAATAACCCCCCAAAACCTTATTCCCATTATTAAGGCCCTTATATTTTTCCGTTGCAGGATACTGTAACAAGGGGTCAGAAGGATCAGATCAGGCCCACCAGTGACCTTGGCAAGCAAGCTTGACCCACACGTGGCACATTAATGATGGGGTTCGCGCATAGCCCTGCTTGTACTCGAGGCACACTGGTCCTGGACGTGCTGTCCCCTACCTCGCGTGACGAGGCGCCGGTGGCGCTGCCGGCGGCAAACGCGCAAGCGCTGTGCACCGCCGTCCCACCCAGGACGGGCCCTGCCACGGTTGCACAACCAGGATCCGGAATGGCCAAGAAAGAAGATCAAAATCACAGGCCCTTTGTGGGCTTCTGGTTCAAAGAACCAAACTGGGCCCGTCTGAAACTTCGGTCAGAGCGACCGCCATGTAAACCCTAAGCCGTCAGCATCCCTTACCCCCGGTGCCGGAAATATCCCAAGTTCCAGCAAATCCCCTCGGTGGGTGCTCTAGACCCTAAACCCTAAACCCTAAACCCTAAACCCTAAACCCTAGACCCTAAACCCTACACCCTAAACCCTAAACCCTAAACCCTAAACCCTAAACCCTAAACCCTAAACCCTACGGGAATCCGCGAGGGCCGGCCGGCACCTCGTCTTCGACGGCCGCTTCCTCCATGGCGCCCCGCGCTTCGCGGGGGTGGAGGCTCAGGCTCCTGGCCGCGTTGAGGGTTGAGGGTTTGGGCTTCAGGGTTTAGGGTTTAGGGTTTAGGGTTTAGGGTTTAGGGTTTAGGGTTTAGGGTTTAGGGATACTTGGAGTTTTTTAGTTTTTGGGTAAGAAACAGCAAAAATTAGAATGTTTCCTGGGGTTCCAAGTTCCAAGTTCAGTATGGTTGAGGGTTTGGGGTTTGGGGTTTAGGGTTCAGGGTTTAGGGTTCAGGGTTCAGGGTTTAGAGTTTAGGGTGTGTTTTGGTTGAGGGCTTGGGGTAGCACAGGGTTCGAATGGGTTTCGTGATCTAACTCATGGCCCGGAAGAAGCCATCATCCTCCTAGTCACGACCTACAAGATCAACGGTTTAGGGTTTAGGGTTTAGGGTTTAGGGTTTAGGGTTTAGGGTCAGTAGCAGTGATGATATCAATCATACTGGAAAGTAGGAGTTGGTTGTCAAGGAGTGAAAAACCAGGGAGCTGTAAATAGGGTTATAAGTATCCTAAGTAAGGTTGTAACCAGCCAAAGTTCTACTTAACCCACTTACAACCCTACGTACAACTTACAACTACCCATGAACCTTCAAGTAGAGCCTGTGTGACAGGGCCCACGGCGTGTGACCTTCTTGGCCGCTTGCCCGGAAGCACAGAGCCCACGAGCTGCGCTGTTTGCTTTCGTAAAGGGTTTTAGGTTCCCGAAGCCCTGCACAAGCCCTAAACTTTAAGCCCCAAACCCTAAACCCTAAGCCCTAAACCCTAAACCCTAAACCCTAAACCCTAAACCCTAAACCCTAAACCCTAAACCCTAAACCCTAAACCCTAAAACCTAAACCCTAAACCCTAAACCCTAAACCCTAAACCCTAAACCCTAAACCCTAAACCCTAAACCCTAAACCCTAAACCCTACTGAAGCCGAACCCCCATTTGGGGCCTGTACGGTTTCAGGGCTTCAGAGGGGCTTTGCGGATCCCAGAATCGAGGCCAACATCTGGGTTGGCCACAAGCCAGGCGGGATGATGCACTGCCACCGGGGGTTGGGGGTTTAGGGTTTGGGGTTTAGGGTTTGGGGTTTAGGGTTTAGGGTTTGGGGTTTAGGGTTTGGGGTTTAGGGTTTGGGGTTCAGGGTTTAGGGCTTAGGGTTCAGGGTTTGGGGAGCTTGGGGTTTAGGGTATGGGGTTTAGGGTTTAGGGTTCCCAGAACTTAAACCTCAAACCCTGAACCCTGGCAGGCAATGCCGACCCTCTTCCCAAGGAGCTTCAGCGATGGATGGAGGAGATGAAGGTTTGGAAATGATAAGCCCTGCACCACAACCCTAAACCCTAAACCCCAAACCCCAAACCCCAACTCCTAAACCCTTCACCCTAAAGCCCTAACCTTAGACCCTGGGGTGGCCATCTACCAAGCGCAGGAGTCCCCACAGCTCCGCACGGCTGGTGCAGAGACTCCCTTGCAGTCAGGGGGGTTTAGGGTTTAGGGTTTGGGGTTTAGGATTTAGGGTTTGGGGTTTAGGGCCCTATAGGTCCGTTCGTTCCCATCATCGTCGCTCCTCGAGTGACTGCCTGACAATAAGGAGCCCAATAAGGTACCCCTAATTTATGATTATAATTATCATTACTAGTATTATTATTATTATTATTCTTATTATTGTTATTATTATTTTTATTCTTACTATTATTATGATTACCATTATTATGCTTGCTATAGTTATTACTACCATTATTACCATGATTATATTTATAGTTCCTACTCTGGGTGCGGGTGACTTAGATAGCCTCCGCCTAAGGTCCTCTCAGCCTCGCCGAAGTGCGTGCAGCCCAAAGAGGCTGGGGGTTTAGGGTTTGGGGTTCAGGGTGTGGGTTTAGGTTTGGGTTAAGGGTTAAGGGTTTAGGGGTTAAGGGTTTAGGGTTTAGGGTTTAGGGTCTAGGGTTCAGGGTGTAGGGGCCTAGCATGATGCATCAACGTCAGGGCAGTGCACGGGCATTCCAGGTGGCGGCTGGCGACACCCTCGCCTCTTTCCCGCTGGAGGGTGGCACGCTGTCACTGGCGCCACCGCAAGACCCTCAGGGCGGCGGAGGCGACGTCCTGTCCTACCTTGCGCCGGTGAGCTGGATGGCGCGCCCCGGCACCACTGAGGAGCGGCTCTAGGTCGTGTTTGAAACTTACTTGCAGGTGTTTACTTACATAAGGTCAAGGGCTTCGAAGTTGGGCTGCTGCTCTTAGGACGATTCGAAGGGTGTAATTCTGGGAGGAGCCTTTTTTTCTCCTGGGTCATCCTGAGAATCATTTACGGGACTTCATGCCGACGCCCCTCACGTGCTGCGAAAGTCAGGCAGAAGAAGCGCCGGCGGAAGATGCCTCGGGCGGCTGCAGCGGGGGCAAAAAATGTGCGATGCAGTTGCGAATGATCTGCGAATTGCTTAAGAACTCCTAAAAGAATAGAAATATGCTTCCTTATCAAGGGAAATATAGGGATTATTAGTATTTTTCTTTTGGGGTTCTTAAGCAAATAGCAGTGATGCCAAGTCAGACCATTGCAGAGTACTTGTTGTGCGGTGAGCTTGCAAGCATGCTTGCGGCATTGCAGTCCACCCACCAACAGTGCAGGACGGTAAAGACGTAGCCATGATGCCGCAGTCGATGGAGGACTCACGAGCGCTGTCGGGGATGGTTTCTGCAACGTGTGCCGGAAGTGTGAGACGTTATGTGAGGCACCAGGTGATCTATATACACCCTTCTGGGGTTTCTAGTGCATTCTTTTGTATGTCGCGGTATCTTCCCTATAGTTTGTCGGCTGCCAAAATGGGGGTTTCTCCGAAAATAGGGGTGCCCTTTTTTGGGGGTTCCTTTAAGGCGATTCTATTCTATTTGGGGGTATAGAAGAGGGTACCCCTCGTTTGGGAAATAGCTGTGGATGCTCCCCCTTATACTAACAGTCCTTAATCGGGAGTATAGTACCACTTATTCTAATCCCTGTTCACGACTGCATCCAGCACCCTACACCCTAAACCCTAAACCCGAAACAAAATGCCCATGGCCTCGAATCTTCCCGGAGCTTGCTCTGAGGAGGCTCACGACCGGGCCCAGAGGCTCACCGAGGAGGCCGAGAGCTTTACGGTTTAGGGTTTAGGGTTTCGGGTTTAGGGTTCAGGGTTTCGGGTTTAGGGTTTAGGGTAGTCCCTGGTGGATATTTTGTGTTTGTCCTTATTGGGTTTGAGAGGATCATATTTAGGAATCTTTCTCAGAGGTTTTGAAGGGCCATCCTAGTTGAGGCCCCCGCGTGCCGCACTCGTTGAACCAAGAGAATTTATGAGCACCCTAAACCCTAAACCCTAAACCCTAAACCCTACACCCTAAACACTAAACCCATCAGTGTGGCCGTTTGCTGACGGGTTATCCACACGATTCTTGTGATATCGTTTGGGGGCAGGGAAGCACCATGACTGGTAACCCTGAACCCTAAACAGGAAGCTACTGTAGCCTCTCACGCTTCTTTCAGACAGAGCCTCTACTTCTCCCTGGCGTCGCTGGTGACCTCCGAAAGGGCCCTGAACCCTAAAGCCTAAACCCTAAGCCCTAAACTCTGAACCCTGAACCCTAAACCCTAAAAATCCCTAAACCCTGAACCCTAAACCCTAAACCCTGAACCCTGAACCCTAAACCTAAACCTAAACCCTGAACCCTAAACCCTAAACCCTCAACCCCCTGGGCTTCCCCGCGAGGTGGCGGCGCAGCGCGGCGCGGCGCAGCGCTGCGCGGCACTGCGGCGCCTGGCGTCGCCGCCCAGCCCAAGGGCTTCCAGGAAACCCCAAGGGCAGACTCCGAATCGACACCGCGGAGACCGGTGTAGGTCACCTGTACAAAAGAGAAATATGCATAAATATATATATATATATATATATATATATATATATATATACGTATATATATATATATATTCATGTATATATATACATATTCATGTATATATATATATATGTACATATATGTATGCAGATAGATATGAGTATAAATATACTTGAGCACGTTTACATAAACTTCAGATATTTCTGCTGTTATACCCTTGTATACCCCTTCTTGAAGCCCTAAACCCTAAACCCTAAACCCTAAACCCTAAACCCCAAGCCCTAAACCCTAAACCCTAAACCCTAAACTCTTAAGAGCGGGCATGCCTCGCAGGAGCAAAGCAGAGCCAGGCGGGCCCTGTTCTCCGGCCTGTCAAGAGTGGTGGCTTCCATGAGACCGCAATCTCCTCCCTAAACCCTAAACCCTAAACCCTGTGAGCCCTAACCCGCACTTATTCATATACTCCACAGCCAGGACCGCGATTGTGGCCTCGGCGTTGGCCCAAGGCGCGGCAGCCTTGAAGACGATTCGACAGGGTTGGGTTCTGTGGAGCACGAGCTTCGCGGTTTAGGGTTTAGGGTTTAGGGTTTAGGGTTTAGGGTTTAGGGTTTAGGGTTTAGGGTTTCATCTTCAGCAGTCGCCCTAAACCCTAAGCCGCCCCGTGACCAGGTGATGGCTTCCCGCAAGAAACTCAAGAACGCTGAGCAGGCCAGGGCTGCAACCAGGCACTTGGAGGTTCATTGATACTTACAACCCCAAGTAGAGTTTAGGGTTTAGGGTGTAGGGTTTAGGGTTTAGGGTGTAGGGTTTAGGGTTTAGGGGTACTTACAACCCCAATCATATGTCTACTTCGAACCTCCTTAGAGATAAGCATGGTTATCATTGCGTTATAGGTGCCCCTAAACCCTACACCCTAAACCCTAAACCCTAAACCCTAAACCCTAAACCCTAAACCCTGAACCCTAAACCCTAAACCCTGAAACCTGAACCCTAAACCCTAAACCCTAAACCCTACACCCTAAACCCTAAACCCTAAACCCTACACCCTAAACCCTCAACCCTAAACCCTAAACCCTAAACCCTACACCCTACACCCTACACCTTAAACCCTAAACCCTAAACCCTAAACCCTAAACCCTAAACCCTAAACCCTAAAGCCTAAACCCTAAACCCTAAACCCTGCTTCCGGAAGGCTAAGAGGCGCCGGGCTGGCAAACCTTGTCGGCCCAAGCCCAGGCCTGAGGGTTTAGGGTTTAGGGATTGGGGTTTAGGGTTTAGGGTTTAGGGTTTAGGGTTTAGGGTTTAGGGTTTAGGGTTTGGGGTTTAGGGTTTCGGGTTTAGGGATTGTAGGGTGTAAAGATTGTAGGGTTTTGGGTTTAGGGTTTAGGGATTGTACGGTTTAGGGATTGCAGGGTTAAGGGTTCCGGGTTTAGTAGGGTTTACGGTTTGTAGGGTTTAGGGTTGTATGTAGGGTTTGCGCTCAAGTTCGCACACCCCGCAGCCACCGAAGTGCCCCCGCTGACACAGGCGCTGCTGATCTTCTGTCGGATTCCCGGCAGCTTCGCACCAACTGAGTTTAACGATGTGCTGCGGTTCGTGGTTTTTACGGGGTTTCTTGCCGGGGGCCTGCAGCCTCTGACAGCATAGGACGGAGCAACCTAAACCTTAAACCCTAAACCCTAAACCCTAAACCCTAAACCCAAAACCCTAAACCCTAAACCCTAAACCCTAAACCCTAAACCCAAGGTTTTTCCTGCAAGGAATCGTGCCAATGAAGAGTGCAAGCTTCTGCTTTGCCAGCTGCAAAGCGCTGGTTCTTTGAGCAGCCAGCATCTCTGTGTCATGCGCACAATGATGTACTACTACTTGCATCACAACCCCAGGAAGACAAAAGACAACAATCAACATATTACCCTTGTAAGGAAGACATTTTTTTGTTCTTTTGGGGGTTCTTAAAAGGTAACAATCCCTATATGACCCTTCTAAGGAAGATCTTCTTTGTTTTCTTTTTTTTTTTTGGGGGGGGGGGGGAGGTTCTGAAGCAAGCAGTAGCTTATAGCAGGCTGTAGAGCACTGTAGAGTGTCAGCGAGCCCAAGTTCGAAAGGCAGCGCAGACCCCACTGCCATGTGCCTGATCGAAGCATAGCGTTTAGGGTTTAGGGTTTAGGGTTTAGGGTTTAGGGTTTAGGGTTTAGGGTTTAGGGTTTAGGGTTTAGGGTGTAGGGTTTATAAGTTTAGGGCATTGGGTTTGGAAGTCAGAGTAGGGAGGAGCTGGACCGATGTGTGGGGGGCATGCAGCCACCTTCCCGCACGCTCCGTCGAAGGTCTCTTGTGCAAAGCTTCCTCTCAGACCCGGGCCTTTCGGGCGGATCTGATCTCCCGGAACAACTTCGTGCGTCCAAACCCTAAACCCTTTAGGGTTTAGGGTTTAGGGTTTAGGGTTTAGGGTTCGACCAGATCCCGGAGAGGCCTGAGCTGTCAATCCAGTGCAGGAGTGCAGGCTCAGTCGGAGGATCTTCGTCCAAGACGTCCCACATTGTAATGTAGAGGTTACATGGGTTGGTGGTCTCTTTAAGTAGGGTTTCTGTGTTACAGGGCATATTTTCGGTGTTCTTATTAGGGCATCTAGGGGCTATATTATGGTATAAGGGCAAGAGATAAAGAGGCCAGATGACTAGTAGTATTTCCTGATGGTCCCTGTAGAATGTACTGCAGTAGCCCCCCAAAACCCTATTCTAACCATTAAGCTTTTCTATACCACCCAACATCGCTGCAGATCGGGTGAAGGTCCGCCAAAGGCCTGCATCAGAAGGAGGCCGAACCCAATTGGTTTACTCACATGACTCACATGAAGCCTTAGCAAGCCAAAGCCCTACACCCTAAACCCCCAAACGCTAACCCCCACCCCGAAACCCGAAACCCTAAACCCTAAACCCTAAACCCTAAAACCCTAAACCCTAAACCCTAAACCCTAAACCCTAGACCCTAAACCCTAAACCCAGATCCCGTCCCGGCTTTGCACTTTGGTCTTTGGGCGCGCCTCGCGGCTTTCAAAAGCCAGGAATTGGATGCATCTTGCTTGTTTTTTTTGGGCTGGCAGTGGCGCTTGTGTAGAGACTGTGTGTCGATGTCTACCCAGATGACGATGATGCCGCGCTGCCAGCAAGTCGTTGTTTGCAGCATTCTCACCCCAACGGATTGGCAAGCAGACGTTGGATAGAACATGATGCCGGCACAGAGAAAGTCATTGCTGGCGTTCTTCCGTTACGCATGCAAGCAGAGCTTCGCAAGGGGGGAGTGCAAGCTAAACCCTTAACCCTAAACCCCAAGACTGTCTGTTTGCCATCGTTTGCATTCTGGCTCGCGCAGCGCGAGGGCCGATCTAATTCGAAGGCTGCCTGTAATTTACCGACTGGACAAGCCTCGGCAAACGTGTCATGTCTGCATGGTAGTATATAACCTATCAGACAGGATTCGCTAGATCGCAGAAAGAAGGGTCGTCTGATTTCAGCTTCGCAGCTTGTCCGTTTTTCTGCAACTTGCATCTGAATACATCTTCATCGATGTTGACTGCAAAGAGTGCGATGTGAGGAAAAGTTGCCTCGATCATGGTAGAATTGGACAGAGGGGCTCATTCTGCAAGCACGAGCAGACATGGGGAACCTAAGCCCTAAACCCTGAACCCTAAACCCTATACCCTAAACCCTAAACCCTAAACCCTAAACCCTAAACCCTAAACCTGGATCAGGGGGCAGACTTGACTTGCAGCAGGCCCAGACACAAGCAGTGCAGAAGGCCAGCTCCCCGGCATTTGAGGGAACGCAAGGCGCTCCAGGTGCTTGCCCCTAAACCCTAAACCCTAAAACCTAAAACCTAGACCCTGAACCCTAAACCCTAAGCCCTAAACCCTAAACCCTAAACCCTAAACCCCAAACCCTAAATCCTTATCCCTAAACCCTAACCCTAAACTCCTTCTAAGGGCAATACAGGGATGATTGTTTTTTGTTTTTGAGGGGGTTCTTAAGCAAATAGTAGATGATCTACTACCCCCTTGGTTCCTAGGTTCTTAGTGGTACCCTACAAAATGCCTTAAAGTGTATTTCTAGGGGGGAAGAGTACGGAAGATAGCTGAATGCCTCCCCACCCTATAACATCTCTGCATAGCAGTTGAAAATTCTTCTAACGGCGCTAATTATACCCCCGCAAACCCATGCATGTGATTGTTACAGGGTATTCATGGCAGTCAGTGTGCCCACAGCTGTGATTGGAAGTACGTACTGACGGGCCCTAATTCGAATCCTCCCCCCCCCCGCCCAACTGATATGAAGTGTGCCCAGCACACTTGAATACTTGCCAATGGGGATGTGTCATAGGGGGATATGTCACATGTTCCCATTGTGGGTTTATGAGAGAGGATCATAATTTAGGGTTTAGGGTTTAGGGTTCAGGGTTTAGGGTTTAGGGTCATAATGTCAGGAAGAAACTCAGAGAGTTTGAGGGGCCGTCCTGGTTTAGAGAGTCATGCATGAGAAGGCCAAGCGGTTGCTGAGGGCGGGCAAGCCAAAGTGGAACCCCAATTGGCAGATCCTGAAGCAACCTAAACCCGAAACTCTAAGCCCTAAGCCCTAAGCCCCAAGCCCCAAGCCCTAAGCCCTAAACCCTAAACCCTAGCCCTAAACCCCAAACCCTAAACCCTAAACCCTGTCATGATTTGAGGTTCAGCGGGAGCTCGGAGCTTTTGAGCGCGAAGTTGCTGGGCACCCAGTGCGACTTGCTCCCTAAACCCTAAACCCTAAACCCTAAACCCTAAACCCTCAACCCTCAACCCTCAACCCTCAACCCTAAACCCTGAACCCTAAACCCTAAACCCTAAACCCTAAACCCTAAACCCTAAACCCTAAACCCTAAATCTTTAGACCCTAAACCCCAAAAACCCTAAACCCTCAACCCTAAATCCTCAACCCTAAGCCCTAAACCCTCAACCCTAAACCCTAAACCCTAAATCCCCCGCTCTTCCCCGATCCCCTAAATCCTGAAATCCTCAAACTCCTAAACCCCTAATCCCTGAACCCCAAACCCTTGAATCCCTAAACCCTTGAACCCTTGAACCCTTGAACCCTTAATGCCCCTAAACCCGTAAACCTCTAAGCCCCAACCCCTGAACCCCAAACCTGTAAAAACCCCTAAACCCAAAACCATAAACCCTAAACCCCAGACCCCCTAAAACCTAAACCCTAAACCCTAAACCCTAAACCCCTAAACCCTAAGCCCCTAAACCCCCAAACCCTAAACCCCAAACCCTGCACTCTATCAGAGGCACAGCTCCGGCGCGCGTGCGACGCGCTGGAGGCGGCGAATCTCAAGGTTTCTGCAACCCTTTCGGTTCAAAGGAAATGCCGGGGTTTGGGGTTTGGGGTTTTGACTTTGGTTTTACAGGGTTTGGGGTTTAGGCTTTAGGGTTTAGGGCTTAGGGATTGAGAAAGTCTGCTTCAAGCACTGGCTCCGCGATTCAAGCTCTCGCGAAGCGAACGAGTTCCCGAGTGAGGGTTGTATGTAGGGCTTGATGCATTGGAATTCCATGACTGGTCCCTAAACCCTAACTCCCCCGAGAAAGAGAGAGAGAGAGAGAGAGAGAGAGAGAGAGCGAGAGAGCGAGAGAGCGAGAGAGCGAGAGAGAGAGAGAGAGCGAGAAGAGAGAGAAGAGAGAGAAGAGAGAGCGAAGAGAGAGAGAGAGAGAGAGAAGAGAGAGAGAGAAGAGAGAGAGGAGAAAAGAGAGAGAAGAGAGAGAAGCGAGAGAGAAGAGAGAAAGAAGAGAGACAGAAGAGAGAGAGCAGAGAGAGAGAAGAGAGAGAGAAGAGAGAGAGAAGAGAGAGAGAAGAGAGACAGACAGGGGAGAGAGCAAGAAAGAGCAGCGCGGTCGATGTCGCCGAAGGCAGAGCCGCCGGTCGCTCCCCAAGTACGAGCTTGTCGCGAAACCAGGGTTTAGGGTTTAGGGTTTAGGGGTGTGGTGGCAGTGCGGCAATAGCTCGATTCATTGATTGCACGTTGCTCCTTTGCAATGATGCCATAGTACAGGATTAGATTAATGTGGCACTATAATAATACAGTACTATGGTAATATAGTAAGATGATAATGAGGTCATATAGTAATATAGTAACACAGCAATATAGCAATTTTGTAATATAGGAATATGGTGATAAAGTAATATAGTAACATAGCAATATAGTAATTTAGTAGTATAGTAATATAGTGATATGGTAATATAGTACTATAGTGATAAAGTAATATAGTAATATAGTCATGTAGTAATATAGCAATATAGCAATATAGCAATATAGCAATATAGCAATATAGCAATATAGCAATATAGTAATATAGTAATATAGTAATATAGTAATATAGCAATATAGTAATATAGTAATATAGTAATATAGTAATATAGTAATATAGTAATATAGTAATATAGTAATATAGTAATATAGTAATATAGTAGTATAGTAATATAGTTATACAGCAATCTAGGAATCCAGGAATCTAGGAATCTAGCAACCTAGTAATCTAGCAATCTAGTTAAAAAGTCATAAAGTAAGATAGTAATACGAGTTTTTGAAGAACAGAACAGCATATGAACATCGAAGAATCCTTTCTGTGCCAAGGTTGCCCCAGCTGCAGGCCCATCCATAGAAAGCCTGGGCAACAAGCCAGATGCCCAGTAATTATAAGAGTGCTCCTTTGGGGTTTAGGGTTTAGGGTTTTAGGGCTTAGGGTGTAGGGTTTAGGGTTTAGGGTTTGGGGTTTAGGGTTTAGGGTTTGGGGTTTAGGGTTTAGGGTTTAGGGCTCCAGTCCGTGCCAAGTGAGGGTACTCCGGAATGGTGCCGCAAATGTGGGCTTTCAGCATCTTTCAGCTCTGGGTTGCAGCGCCTAGGAGAGAGGCATGCCCTAAACCCTAAACCCTAAACCCGAAACCCTAAACCCTAAACCCTAAGCCCTAAGCCCGAAGCCCTAAGCCCTAAACCCTAAACCCTTCAACTCTCCCCCGGCTGGACAGGTCGGGGCTTCCATGTTGAGTTGATGGACTCACCCCAAAACCTCGCGCGATCCTGACCGTCAGCAGACACGCAGCTGAAAGCACACGACACGACCCGGAAAGCATGGCGGGATGACCATCATCCGATTTGGCGACGAGCTTTGGCTTGGGCGCGCCGAGCCGAGACCGGGAGGAGCACAACAAAGCTGAATAGCAAGTTATACTACTAAATGAATACAAAAGTACAATATGATATTTGCTGAAGCGTTGGCAGGAAACGACTTCCTGATTGGTCGCCGCAATTTCCGCGCCGTCGCTGTTTCCGCCCGCGGCAAGGCTGGGCAGTTGCAATTGACCCCGAACCCTCAACCCAGAACCCTCTACACCCGAAACCCGAAACCCCTAAACCCTAAACCCTAAACCCCAAACCCTAAACCCCAGAGTGCACCCTGAATCCCCGACTCGTGTCAACTCGTGGGCGGCAGGCACTGCTGCTGGTGCTGGGAGGTCGCAGAGGGGAGCGTCTCGGCATTCGTCAAAGTAGGCGCCCGAAGCACATGAGGGATTCTCTAAATCATGGCCCCCCCCCTTTTTTTTTTGGGGGCGGGGGGGTGGGGTGGGGTGGGGGTGTACCCTAAATAGAGAGGGCTCCGCGTGAGTCCCCGAAAGGGTCCACAGATTCTACTGCCAGTAGGCCGTCCTCCTGACATGCCTCTTGATGCATGGGCGGATCGCAGGCGCTATCAGAATGATGTGTGGCGCACCTGGGCAGCAAGTTCTTGGTTTAGGGTTTAGGGTTTAGGGTTTAGGGTTTAGGGTTCAAAAGGCTCTCGTCACACGCTGGGGCATGACGTTGACGCTGGACAGCTCTCGGAAATCCTCAACTACTAATTGCTTAAGAGCCCCGGAATAAATCAAAAAATATTCTTCCTTATTACAGGTAATATAGGGATTACTATTTTTCTACTCCTTTGGGGTTCTTCTGGCTGGTTCTTCGTAGGGAATGAGGGAATTAGGGCCCTACATAATCCCTTAAAGGGTATTTATAGTGCCCTCATTCCCTCATTCCCTACTAAGAACCAGGGGGTCTTAAGCAAGTAGTAGTTCAAGATGGTAGTCCCTAAACCCTAAACCCTAAACCCTAAACCCTAAACCCTAAACCCTAAACCCTAAACCCTAAACCCTAACCCCTAAACCCTAAACCCTAACCCCTACCCCCTAAACCCTAAACCCTAAACCCTAAACCCTAAACCCTAAACCCTAAACCCTAAACCCTAAACCCTAAACCCTAAACCCTAAACCCTAAACCCTAAACCCTAAACCCTAAACCCTAAACCCTAAACCCTAGGACATCCTCAAAGAGAGCCAGACGGCCCGAGGCAGTCTCGATGACGGCCTCCGCTGGGAGGCCAGGAGAGCTCTGTGGAGTCGGCCGTCTTGAGAAACCCTAAACCCTAAACCCTAAACCCTAAACCCTAAACCCTAAACCCTAAACCCTAAACCCTAAACCCCTGCAGTGCTGAAGGAGGTCTCGGCCCACGAGGATGGCCGATGGGAAGAGGGCGGCGTCGCTGTTCGCCGCAGCCTGGCTTTTTAGCATTCTTCCCTTACTTTTCCTTATGTAGGGTTTAGGGTTTAGGGCTTAGGGTTTAGGGCTTAGGGCCTAGGGCTTAGGGCCTAGGGCCTAGGGCTTAGGGCTTGGCGCTTAGGATATCCCTTGGTTATTGGAGAAGTAAGACCCTGTGGCGAGGGCAGCCCCTGGCCCTCCTCCGACACGAGCTTAGGGCATTATATTTTTATTTGTGTTTTTTTATTCTACTTTTCTCTTCTTATTCTTATTATTATTCTTATTCTTCTTCTTATTCTTCTTCTTCTTCTTCTTCTTATTCTTCTTCTTCTTATTCTTATTCTTATTCGTATTCTTATCCTAGTACTACTAGTATTCTTACTCTGCTATATGACTATATTCCTGCATGATTATGTAATGTATTGTTATGTTTATATATATTGATTGTTTATTTTGATAGATTAGCAAGATCACTATAGTATTATACGATTATAGTATTTATTATAGTATTCTGTTGATATATTCCACTTCATATTCGTGTACGAATATATTACTCTAGTATTATGCTATTATACTCTTGCAGATTTATAACAATGTTTATAACAATACTCGTATATTGCTATATTATGAGTTTGTTAGATTTGTTAGACTATTCCGTTATATCTTTTGTTTTATTACATATTATGTCGCGTGATTCTATTTTAAAATTACATGTTTATACTTTTTTGCTAATCCACTATTTCTTATATGATCATATTGTTATACTACGATACCACCGCATTTCTTAAATTTTGTCTAATCGCTTTGCAATCTTTAGTGTCTAAACATTCATGTATTTTAATTCTTCTTATTGTCTTTCCCCTAAACCCTAAACCCTAAACCCTAAACCCTAAACCCTAAACCCTAAACCCTAAACCCTAAACCCTAAACCCTAAACCCTAAACCCTAAACCCTAAACCCTAAACCCTAAACCCTAACACTAAACCCTAAACCCTAAACCCTAAACCCTAAACCCTAAACCCTAAACCCTAAACCCTAAACCCTAAACCCTAAACCCTAAACCCTAAACCCTAAACCCTAAACCCTAAACCCTAAACCCTAAACCGTGGGGTATGTTGGCATCGGCTCAGCTCCACAGCTGCCTTGCTCCAGCGCCCAGGAAAGTGGTGCGGCAGGCGCGTCCTGGGCATGCCTCGCTGAGGGTTTAGGGTTTAGGGTTCACGCCTCGCTGCGCCCATGCCGAAGCGTCTGCTCGAAGTGCATGACCTGGAGACCCTGCACAGGTCATAGAGGGTTTAGGGGTTTAGGGTTTAGGGTTAAGGGTTCGAAACCCCCTGAAACCCTGAACTGCGCGAGCAGACGGGATAGCCTCCTGCGCAGGGAAGCCTTCGGGGCGGCCGCCGGATGTGTGGCAGGCCGGATGGAGCCGAAATGAACCTGAGGCCCCGACAAGCCCTGATAAATGCCGAGCACCCAAACACAAAAAACAAAAGCTGAGCCCTGGGTAGCCTTCTAGCCCCTAAATGCCCGAAACAAGAATTTCTCCACCCTCGACTTCCCCGACTCCTTGGGCTTCCTACAGCCTCTTAAGGCACGACGCAGGGCTTGGTCTACGTCGCCTGCGGCCTCGGAGCAGCGCGCCCGATGGAAGATGTTTGGGAGCCCTTGCTCAAACGAGTCCTTTCTGGGCTTTTAGGGTTTGGGTTTAGGGTTTGGGGTTTGGGGTTTAGGGTTTAGGGTTTAGGGCTACTAGGACTCAGACCTGGCGCTCATTCCCCTTTTTGTTTAGGGTTTAGGTTCCCTTATCAACCCTTTGAACCAAAAGACAGGGTGCCCCTTCTTTACTGCTAGGTTGCTCTTGGGTAGAGATAGAGTGGGCCCTTGTTGCCTTTTGTTTTTTGGTGTTTTGGTTCCCTTTCCAACCCCTTTTAGCCCAAAAGGGTACCCTTTTTTATTGCTAGGTTGCTTGTGGGTCGAGTTTTTGTGCAGAGAGGGCCAGTCGTTCCCAATAGTTTATGGAGGCTTCGGCTGCCCAGCTCCGACTGACATGCGATATGCCCTAAACCTCAAACCCCAAACCCCAAACCCCAAACCCCAAACCCCAAACCCCAAACCCTAAACCCTAAACCCTAAACCCTAAACCCTAAAAGCCCCAAAAATGAGAGCGATTGAGTGGAGCTGTTTGCGAGGGAGAAGTTTTGGTTGGATCCCGAGGTCTCGGAGGACTTTGGCCGCAGCTTCGTGCGCACTTGCCAGGCCGGGAAGCCCCCCCCCCAAGCCCCGCAAGCCCCGCAAACCCTAAACCCCAAACCCCAAACCCCAAACGCTAAACCCTAAACCCTAAACCCTAAACCCTAAACCCTAAACCCTAAACCCTAAACCCTAAACCCTAAACCCTAAGCCCCTAAGCCCCTAAGCCCCTAAACCCCTAAGCCCCTAAGCCCCTAAGCCCCTGAGCCCTGAACCCTAAACCCTAAGCCCAAAACCCTAAACCCTAAACCCTAAACCCTAAACCCTAAACCCTTGATAGGCCGGCCCCTTCGGCCGGCGTGCGAGTCCCGGGCTAGCTGTCAGCCCAGGGCGGCCGCAGCAGGCGGGGCACTTCCCACGGACTTTGGGGAGGGTGGGGAGTCCACCCTAAACCCTAAACCCTCACCCTAAACCCTAAACCCTCACCCTAAACCCCAAACCACGGCTCGGCTCTTTTTGGGGGTGAAAAGGGGTGGGGGGCCCAGAATTTTTGATTTTTGTGTGGTCTTCTGAATGCTCGAGAATGGCTTAGGATCACGATTGCGATGATGCCTGTTTTCACTACCATTCTTACCATCCTTACCTTTCTCACCGTTCTTACCATTCTCACCGTTCTTACCACCTCTTGCCACTCTTGCCGTTCTTACCCCTTAAGCCCTGAACCCTAAACCCTAAACCCTAGACCCTAGACCCTAAACCCTAAATCCCCGCTCCTACTGTTCTTTCCAGTTTTGCTGCTTTCACGAGGTCGTGTTGGTCGGGGGAGGCTGGAACTCAAATCCCGAGTTCTGGGACTGCTGGATCTCGTCGAACGTGGGCGAGACTTGGACAGAAGCTTGGCAGCCCCCAGCGGTACCCTTGTGCCATTTTTTTTTTTTAGTTTGGGGTTTAGGGTTCAGGGTTCAGGGTTTAGTTTTTTTTGGGGGGGAGGGAGTTCTAGGTTCCCTAAACGGTTTAGGGTTTCGGGTTTCCATAGGGGTCGGAAAAATTACTGATCGTATTCCCTTATGGTCCTGTTCGAATTTTTGAGGCCCCTCTATTGCCCTTTTGTTGCTCGCTTTTTTGGTTCTAGGTTCCCTGATAAAGTAGCCAACTCCAACAGGGGTACCCTTACGGTAGTGTGGTTGCTGGGGTTCCAAGGAAGTTCCAACGCCAGCAAACGAGCTCCCACGGCGGCAGGTGGTGGTCGCGTTTCTGTCTTCCAGGCTGCTGGTTTCTTGGGTAGGCCCTTGGGACACATTTTCCCTTGTTGGGTTTATGAGGATCATATTCAGGAATACCCCTAAACCCTAAAACCCTAAACCCTAAACCCTAAACCCTAAACCCTAAACCCTAAACCCTAAACCCTAAACCCTAAACCCTAAACCCTAAACCCTGAACCCTAAACCCTGAACCCTCAGGGCCATCCGAGGTTCTGGGAGGGCACAACCGGCGCGAGCCCGTCGTTGATGCCCACCTTGCCACCGTCGACTGGATGGCCGGGACTGCGGTTTGGCAGTCCGTGGCGCGCCCCTGCTGTCAGACAGCGTTAAACCTCGATATGTTTTTAAGGGGTTTAGGGTTTAGGGTTTCGGGTTTAGGGTTTAGGGTTAGGGTTTAGGGACGCAAACCAACACCGTGCGAGAGGTCATCTATAAGGCAAAAGGCAAGATGGAGAGAGAGAGAGAGAGAGAGAGATTGAGAGACAGAGCACCGTCCTTCTATGCGTTAGTTACTTGTGTGGTGTTCTCGTAAGCCGAAGCCCCGAAGCCTTGCGCATTTTCACACAGAGTTCGGGGCCAAGTGCACAGGAATGAAGGAAGGAAGAGCGCTGTAACCCTGCGAGGCAGAGCGAAAGAAGACTTGGGAGCATGGCTCTTCAACAGAACCCCTCCTGGCCAATGCGGCCGGCTTACTTTCGCCCTGGCCGCAAACCCCTAAGAAGAAGCCAACAAAGATAAAAAGGTATCGCAGCAAGCAAAATATCAGAAAGAACATGTTTTAGGGCTTAGGGCTTAGGGTTTAGGGATACGGATAGAAACAATAAGAGCCAGTCAAGGCAGAACCCATACACGAAAGAAAGAAGTAGCGAGCCAGTTCCATAAACATACATGCTGCAACAGCATAGGTTAAAGAGCCAGAGAGCAGCAGACCGAGATAGCCAGAGAAAGAGCCATAGATAATAACAGGGAACGAACAGGGTTTAGGGTTTAGGGTTGAGGGTTTAGGGTTTAACCAAGAAACGCCCAAATGCATACAAGCAGCCAAGCCCTGAAGTAACGATCCATGTAAAGAACCGGCCGCAAAGACAACCGGCAAGACCGCATATGATTGAGAACGCAGAACCAATCCAAAATCACCGAACTAACGAACCAAAGAAACATCTCAAAAACGAATAACCAGCAAGGAAAAAACATTGGACCATAAGTATTTGAACAAAGAATCGGTCTAATTAACGGCATGCCAGCTAACGAAACAGCAATGAACCCAAACAAGAAGTGAAAAGTAGAGAAGCATCAGCGCGCACCGAAATAAAGGACCTTCATACAAGACACTCGACGAAAAACATAGCCACGGAGATGAGGGTTTAGGGTTTAGGGTTTAGGGCTTAGGGTTCAGTCTTCAGGCACGGTCCATAAGGTCCCGACGGAGCGCTCCGCCACCCTCACAATTCTTGGGTTTCGGGTTTAGGGTTTGGGGTTTCGGGTTTAGGGTTCCGGTGCCACGTGCTGGTCCAAACCATCTGAAAAGCCCTAAACCCTAACCCCGAACCCCAACCCTTAAACCCTAAACCCTCAACCCTAAACCCCTCGAAACCGGAGCTCAGGTACAAGCAAGGCTCCTCAGAGGAGGTGATCGACGAGTGGCTGCCTGGTGAGATGCCCTGCTTTCTGAGCCACTGCTCTGTGGCTCGGTAGGGCCTTGGGAGATAGGGTTTAGGGTTTAGGGTTTAGGGATATTTCATGCGTTCACTTATTGGGTTTAAAGGTATAGGGTTTATTTAGGGTTTAGGGTTTAGTGCTCGGTGGCTCGGTAGGCCATTTGGTCACTTCTCTAGAATATGGTCCTTTTTTTGGGGGTTGCTATTTGTAGGCTGTATTTAGGGTACTCAAAAAGGGGACCATAATGTTGAGAGCTCACCATGTTCATTTTTTCCTTTCTTGAGCTTAGGAGGATCAGGTTCAGGAAATAGTCTTTCAGAGGGTTTTAAAGGCTGCCCAGCCCAAGGTGGTTGATGCCCATCAGGGAAGAGTTTTCGGCCTCACGACCGGGGTGAACTACACGCTGCTTGGTAGCCCAGTGGTACCCTATACCCTTTTTTTTTGGTGCTCTGGGTTCCCTTATCAAGCAACCCTAAACCCTAACCCTAAACCCTAAACCCTAAACCCTAAACCCTAAACCCTAAACCCTAAAACCTAAACCCTAAACCCTAAAACCCTTATTATGAGATGGCTACTGGGCTACCAAGGCTGGGAGCACTCGAGCTGTCCAAGATGGGCGACACGGACCGCCCCAGCCTCCGACTCTCAACTGGGCCGTTGCAGACTCTCGCCTTGGCTTTGGAGCACGAAACAGCAAAACTTGGGGGATTCCCCCTTATGCTTAACAGGACTCCTTGATAGGGATTATGATAGGGGGGGGAACCCAAAACCCCAAACCCCAGTGTTGCGAGCAAGACCTCCGCGCATCGAGGAGCCTAAACCCTAAACCCTAAACCCTAAACCCTAAACCCTAAACCCTAAACCCTAAACCCTAAACCCTAAACCCTAAACCCTAAACCCTAAACCCTAAACCCTAAACCCTAAACCCTAAACCCTAAACCCTAAACCCTAGGAGCCTTCTCCCGCGCGTCAGCCCCTCCGAATCGGTGGTGTCCCCCAGCGCCTCGGGCACCGGACCTCTGCAGCAGCGGCTTCACGTCCTGCTCCCCGATGCCAGGCTAGGATCCAATTCCCTTGTTTAGGGTTCAGGTTCCCTAAACCCTAAACCCTAAACCCTAAACCCTAAACCCTAAACCCTAAACCCTCAACCCTAAACCCTAAACCCTAAACCCTAAACCCTAAACCCTAAACCCTAAACCCTAAACCCTAAACCCTAAACCCTAAACCCTAAACCCTAAACCCTAAACCCCAAGCCCTGAACCCCAAAGTGTCAACGTGAAGCGGCAGGCGGCTCTATCTCCTCGAAGGTGCGGCCCGCATCTCCTGCGGCTTTGTCTTGCCCCAAGCCCTACACCCTGGGAGATGGGTATTCAGGGTCTAGGGTTTAGGGTGAAAGGTTCTAGGGTTTGGGGCTTAGGGTTTAGGGTTTAGGATTCCAGAAGTCAGGGGGTTAGGGTCTCCAACAGTGAGAGAGCGACAATCTACTGAGGCATGTTTGCAGCTTGTTTCTAAGCATTCGTGCATGGCTTGTCACCATTCTGCTCCTGCAACCACGTCTTTAAAATCGGTCCATATAGGTCCGCGCACATTTTCCAAGAGAGTTGAAAGCTAAGAAGCTACGTTAGCTATGCACGATTAAAGACACGACTTTTATTTTTGTGCGGATGACCCATGGTGAAAGCAACATCCGATGGTGAAGATGTAGAAGAGCCACAACTCTTGGGCGCTTTCGAAGCGCGCAGCCCGTGAGCTCGATATAGACGGCCTGGACAGTGGCAGGCCCTAATGGGCCCGAACCCCCACCCCCCCATGGTCCTCCCATCGCCGACCACTGATCCCGGACATCTTCTTTCACAAGCTTATCGGGCGAAGTCTGTCACATGATGAGGGTCCCTGGACGAAAGCCACAACACGGGAGGCGACTGACCAGCAGTCTCGACCCCTTCGTTGTTCTCGTCGCCAGCTTTGACGTTTGGGCTTGGGGGCGTCTGGACGTGCTTGTGTCTTTATGCGCAGAGCGCCCCTCAACAACATTTTGATGTTCCGGGTTCTTCTTTCGTGCGCAAACGCTTTCTTTGTTTCTGTCCTGGAAGGTGATGCTGGCTGGCTCCTGGCTACGCCGCTTGGCTGAGAGGGCATGACCCGAAATGTGTTGGGGTTTTGGGTTCAGGTTGGGATGTTCCCCTGATAGTAGCAATCCTTAGTAGGGATTACCCCCGTTATAATCTTTAAGGACTGTTAGTGTAAGGGTGAACATCCCAGAAAGCAGCGAGGGCACGAAAGGGAGGTTCCAATGGCAGTCCTACATAGGGATTTGCGAAAAATGGGTGCCCTTCATATACCCCCCAAATAGAATCCTGTAAACCCTAACCCTAAACCCTAAACCCTAAACCCCAAACCCTAAACCCTAAACCCCAAACCCCTAAACCCTAAACCCTAAACCCCAAACCCCTAAACCCCTAAACCCCCAAACCCCCACATCTCGCAGCCCCACTCGAAGCGACAGGTGCAGCGAGCAGCAGCGCAGCCGCCAGGAGAGCTTGCTCAGGCCACAGGTGCCTCAACTAGGCCCTTGTTCCCCTTTGTTTTTAGGGTTTGGGGTTCAGGGTTTAGGGTTTAGGGTTTAGGGTTTAGGGTTTAGGGCTACTAGGACCCAGAGTAGGCCCTAATTCCCCTTTTTGAGGGTTAAGGTTCCCTTACGAGCACCTTTAAACCAAAAAGGTTTGTATTCCTAGGGTTACTCTTGGGTCTAGTCCAGGAAAAAATCACAGGATTCAGGGATTTAAGTTTTGGGTTTGGGGTTTATGGCTTAGCCGGGTGTTGGTTGTTGCATTTCGAGTCCAAGCAGTTTGTGTTGAATCGAACCTTTAAGTGGAGCTCGAATCACCCACCAATGTCGTATGTCATCCTGGTCATAGACGCTTATCGCATCACCAGGGAAGTGTAGAAAACAGTCCACACCGCACAAGTGGAGAGAAAACATCCGGCCACAACCTGGAGAGAACACATCTATCCACAGAAACGGAAAGAGACAGTTCGAACCAGAACCAGTGAAAATTCAATCCCAGCAGCGGGAAGACACAGTCAAACCGCAAGCGGAGAGAACATGTCGACTAGGGGGGGGGGGGAAGAAAAACCCATCCGATGCTGTTGGGAGTTTTTGTGCCAATGCCGGAGTGTTTCTTGCCGCGGCCCACACAGTTTTGTTGTGCCAATGCCCACGAAGTTTGTGCCATGCCCACGACGTTTGGCGCCAATGACGCCCGTGCCCGCGAAGTCGCTTTAAACAAGTATGTGAACTTTGATCATCCTACATCTACATTTATGCGAGGGTTTAGGGTTTAGGGTTTAGGGTTTAGGGTTTCGGGGCTCCGTGTCGAGCCTTTGGACTCGAGGCTTGGTGGAGGCTGCCCATGGAGCTCTGGGCCAAAGTGCTCCTCTTCCTGCCTTTTGGGAAGCAGCTACGACGGATTTAGGGTTTAGGGTTTAGGGTTTGGGGTTTAGGGTTTGGGGTTTAGGGTTTAGGGTTTGGGGTTTAGGGTTTAGGGCTTGGGGATGCTTCCAGGCCTACTCCGCTACCCCTGATCCCCGAATTCCTTGCCAAGCCTGGAATTTTCTAGCCGGGGTTTAGGGTTTAGGGTTTAGGGTTTCTCAACTCTGCGCAGGTTTGGACCCAGCTACAGCCGCCCAAAGGGCAAGACCAGAGCGGGCTATGGGCGTGGCCAAAAGTTTCAGCCGCCATGGCAGAGCCAAGGGTTTTGAGCAAGCTGCACCCTGGGGAGCCTGGATGTCTCTAGCCGGGGTTTAGGGTTTAGGGTTTAGGGTTTAGGGTTTTTAATGGTCCAGGTTGCGGCAGAAGGAGAAGGAGGTCGAGGTGCGGTTGCTTTCATAGAACATCCTGCACCTGGCAAGAGTCGTGGGGCACCAAAACGCAGGTGACGCAACGCGCATGTGCCCCGAGCCTCATCGTGTGATGGTCCCCACCATGTGACGTTCCCACCGTGTGTTCTACGAATTGCAATAGAACCCACAAAAAATGAAAACAGTTCTTCCTTATAAGGTAATATAGGGAGTTTTATTCTTTCTTTTTTGGGGGTTCTTAAGCAAAAAGTAGTGATGTTCCCACCATGGCACTGCGCCAGAGTTCAGCTGGGCCAGGAAGTTCGCAACAGAGTCATGTCCACCAGAGAGCGCGCAGCCCTCAGGTTTAGGGTTTAGGGTTTAGGGGTGGCCGGCCAGATCAATTGTCGGGTTTAGGGTTTAGGGTGTACGGTTTAGGGTTTAGGGTTTGGGGTTGCCATTCCTAGCTATGTAGCCTTGTATATAGGGCTGAGGGTGCAGAGTTCAGGTTGTAGGGTACAACGTTCAGAGTTTGGCTTAGGTTTCAGAGTTTAAGGTTTAGGGTTTAGAGCCCTGCAGTGCGCGCCATAGGCTACCACGCCCTCGTGGAGGAGGCTGGCGGCAGGGCCGCTGTGGAGGAGCACTGATCTGTATCTGCGCCTGTCATAGCTCTGATCAAAGGGTTTAGGGTTCAGAGTTCAGGGTTTAGGGTTTAGGGTAACGGTTCAGGGTTTTGGATCTAGGGTGTTTCGGGGCCAGCATCCGGAGTGCAGTGAAGGATCTCGGCTTCAACGTCCGCTACGGAAGCCCTCGGCCACTTCACAGGCAGCGTGTCCGCCCTGTATGGGAGTCTGCCACGTTCCCCCCGGTGCCTTCTTGAGGGCCCTAAACCCCTAAAACCCAAAACCCCTTAACCCCTACACCCCTACGCGGCTAGACTCCTGAACCCCTAAAACCCCTAAAGCCCTACAACCCCAACCCCTAAACCCCTTAGCCCCCAAACCCCTAAAACCACTAATCCCTAACCCCCTACACCCCTACACACCCCTACACGCCTAAACCCTAAACCCTAACACCCCTACACGCCCAAACCCCTAAACCCCGAAACCCCCTA